CATCTTAATTTGCACTCCCTCGAGAGACGTAGAGTGAGGGGCGACCTGATAGAGGTGTAAGATGGAAGTCAGGGCTAAACAATGGGGACATTACAAAGGTACTCAAACTATCCAACCAGGAGCGAACCCGTAACAATGGTTTTAAATTAGACAAATTTAGATTTCGGCGCGAAATTGGTAAACACTGGTTTGGTAACAGAGTAGTGGATGAATGGAACAAGTTACCAAATATCATCATTAACTCGAATACGCTGAATAGCTTCACACATAGGTTGGATGCTTATATGAGCAATAGGGGTTGGGTATAAACGGGACTGCCCGGTATGGGTCAATAGGCCCGCTGCAGTTTCCTCCATTCTTATGTTCTTATGTAATTGCTCAGGAGCGAAGCAGCATCTGTACAGCATTCACAGCTTTCGGGAGGTACAGTACTCAGTTGAACATCTTCCCCATCGGTATGTATAGTTTTGACAATAGAAATCATTCTGGACAAGACATATTAGTAGTCATATGCTTGCCACCTCCTCCTCCCCTTCGGAAAATCCCCCGTTGACACCCATATATCTCCCGCCACACACACAGTAATGTACACCAGTTTGAGCCATGTAGCTCCCCCCCCCTCCCCGTGACCACGTATCTGCTTACCGGGACGTGTAAATATCCGGTTCATGGCGGTGTACACTAAGACAGGTTTTATGGTTGTTGGTTCATTATGATGTTGTTTATCAGACATTAAGTTATTATATAATTGTGTGTCCCGTCGTATATCTAGAGTGAGGACAGTGAACTTAGAGTCAGTAATCCCTCCACTACAGTACTCGTATGTCGCTATAAACAGTAAGGTAAGAAATTATTGAACTTCAGCCTCATATTAAAGGCTTGTCCAGCATGTTGTAATTTTGTTCCATGTTCTTGGTTCAGGAGGCGTCCTCCGTGTGGAAGTTTCTGAACACAGGAATGTGTTTGTGTGTGTATGTGTGTGTGTGTTAATACAGTATATAATATGTGTGTGTGTTTGTGTGTGTATGCACGCGTTTGGGAACACACGGGACTACACAATACTGTGTTTGGGTATGTGGGGGGGGGGAGGTATACGTGACTTTGTTAGTGTGTTCACCTGTGTGTGTGTGTGTGTGTGTAAATGCACGAGACCTGAAAGTGGAGGACTAAGGAAATGGCGACGACACCACGTCCGGCACTGATGTTGTTGTTATTATTTTTGTTTTATTTGGTAGAGACCTGGGCACAACACAAGGCGCGGGGCTCTGAGCTTCCCGGTATAATGATCGTAGACAAACAAATTACAGCCATAAAAACGACCCGTAAATAACAGAGAGATGGTGTACTCAGTGAACTGTAGCCATCGGGTAATACGACCATCCAGTCAGCCTATATTAGTAGACCATCTCCTGCCAAGCTGCTAGGTACAGGTATCATGTTAAAGCGATCATCTGCAGGCACAGTACAACAGACAAGAATCAGCTAACGACGGCATTTATTTACTGATTAGGTGCACCAGCCCTTGTGATAGAACCAAACATATTTTGACGTCCTTGAAGGTAATATCTAAGCTTCTGTAATCTCCACGATGATTGGGTGATTTTTATCCAAACTCAACTTGGTCCCTCACACTAGATTAATTATTTTGTGGAATGAATTGGATATTTTACCTGTGTCATGGCTGTTGCGCTAACCAGCCCATACCTGTTCATACTTGTCTGAGTGTAATGGCGAGGAATCATGTCAAGTCATATTAATCCTTGTTTAATATGAGAGTTAACGTGTCACTGTCTGGTTGTGAGATGCTTGTGAGGAGTGATGACCTCTGAGACGCCGCCCACTTGTTAGGAGTTATTGAGGAGACAGCGGAAGCACGCAAGAGGCTCGCTATAATAATCTACCCACAAAACCTCCTCCTCCCACGTCAGGCAGCTCCCGAGACACGGAATGTTTTGTTGTTTTATATCAACAGAACTTTAGGAAGCATATGTTCGGTTCAAACTGTTTAGGTGGTAAGTGGCGTTTGTAACGTTTTATTAAATTTGTTTAAAGATAGATGCACAGCACACACACACACACACACACACACACACACACACACACACACACACACACACTCAAAGTACATTGAATTTAAGGACATCATCTCAAGGAGTCTGCACACCTCGTGCTGGGCAGTACTCAGGAACGACAGACCTGCAGACCTAACAAATAAACGTACAGGGAGAACCACATTGCTGCCTCGGAAGGATGGTAAACAACTGGTGAAGGATAATACATAAACAGTAATTCCACCTTGGCACCTACACCTATCTCTTCCACAAGGCAGCTGCTACAGGGAGGGCGACGAGTTCAAGGGAAAACCAGGAAGCGAATTATAAGCCACTGAGGAACTGATGTTTTCTCGCAATACTGTCCGGAAGAGGGAGCCTGTTGGGGTGTTAAGCTTTGGATGTTCTGAATAAGCTGAGATCAAGCCTTACTGAGACTGGAAGGACATCTAATTTGCATGTTTCAGCTTTGAGAACCATAACACCAATGCTGCCTCGAGTGAGTCTTTGAATGTGAAGTTACAAGTCAAAAAGGAAAAATTAAATTATGTAAAGGATGTTATTAAGTGTGACTCAACCAAACATACAACGTTTTCTTCGGGTCCTCTGGTTTTCTCCTGAGCTAAACCCCGGACTCCTGAAGGAAATACCCCCCCCCCCCCTGAACAGTGGGGGAGATTACACACACCACATGGATAATTGTCTGACAAAACTTCCTCGACGCATTTAAAACGTCGTGTGCCTGCAGAACATAACCAAATTATACGTAGGTTAGTTTAAGTTAACTTGAGTTGGTTAGTTAGGTAAGGTTAAGTTGGGTTAGTTAGCTTATTAATACTAGTGTAATTACTATTTTTGTTACACGGTTAATGATCTTAGTTGTTGAAGAGCGGTGGTATCATTTCAGTACAACGTCAGACGATGCAATGCATTTGTTATAATTATGTACGAGGGCATTTAAAAGGTTTTGACATTTTAGGTTTTAAAGTATACAACAGGTTACTATTTTTTATAAACAAAGTTAAATGATTAATTAATGTGCTACAATTTATTTGAGAGAGAGAGAGAGAGATTTAGGGAGAACTGAGCATCAGTGTCTTAAAGTTTCTAACAAAAGATTTCACAGCTAAGAAAATTCAACGACACTTGGTTGGAGCTTATGACACACAAACCCCCTCATAGGCCAGTGTAAGGAGCCTCCAGGAGTCTCAGTGTGAGCGTGAAAGTCTTGAGGGTGGTCTTAAGGTCTTCAAATGCCGCCGACGAGCATCTGTAGACCGAGTCAAGCACTTGATGATGACTGACCGACTCATCAAAGTCGATTGAATAAGCATTGATTTTGGCTTTCCTCGAGTAAGTGTTGTGACCACCATCCATGAACATTGGAGGGTGTCTTAGGTTTCTGCAAAATGGGTTCTCCGTGAGTAGTGGATGGCCTCAAGTCAAGAGCTATTTGAACTGTACAAAGCTGATCTAGCCAGCTTAACTCTCCCATCGGGTGTATAGTATAGGGAATCGAGACCAGGATTCATCATTTTGACTCTGGGTCGAACAGCGAACTTACCCAAAGGAAGCACCTGAATTGTTTGATCTCCAAGAGGTTGTAAAGTCAGTCTTCGCCACGACAGGATGAGGATTTTGATTTTTTGGGATGTCAAAGAGAGTCTGCTGATGGACTCTTGGCCTCCTGCTGCTCAAAACAACTATTACCAGTGACTAACGGTGGTCTAACGCTGACCAGAGGTGTGTTCCTGCTCCGTGTCAGTACATTAATCCCGTGTCACAGCGGCTTCTATTTACAATTGTGCCTCTAGCAACAGAGTCGCCTTCCCTGCCGCCCAGATCTGGTACCAAGTGGTTATTATCCGATTCACAACCTGAACTTCTGTCTCTAATAGCATCGCTCTCCGGGTGAGGAGCTGAGGGAGGCTACAGGTGCGCATAGTTTGAGGACTGGACTTTTGTAAGGCTGACATAGTGAGTTAAAAGTACGCGCACACACACACACACACACACAAAGGGGGGGGGGGGCAACAGCGGCTTGATCTAGGTCATTGATATATTGTGATAAAGCAAACATACTTCCGCTGATGTAACTCAAGTTATGTAATATTACCTGAGCCAGGTTGGTTTAAATACAAGTGTGGTTAGGTTAGGTTGGGTTGGGTGTTCTAGCAAAAGGATTAAGTTTTTAATCATAAGTCTGTCGGGTCTAAGATATTTTTCCGTTTGATGTAATGTTCCCAATTCTAAAATATATGTTCACGATCTGGTGTAGAATTAGTTTTAAAATGAAGAATAAAGTGGGAGGAATATGGTTTGCAGTATAATGTGCCTGTAAAATAGTGGCTATTGATCTGTGTTCTGGTGAGTTCATGTTTGTTAGTGAGCCTCAGTGTGGAAGACTACTAGGCTTTCTCACTTACGAAGCCTATTTGGTTTCCAGTACGCGTGTGTAGTGAACTGCAACACACTTTGCTATGTATAGTCTACCAAACCTTAAACCTAACTGTATTTGACGTAGGATTATTGGGCTAAATGTCAGTAGGCTAGTTCTGTTGGTTTGTATGTGATGTCATATACATTTATTTTATACGTTGGCTCTGCTGACCTGACTATAATACAAGAAAAAAGTTGAAAAAAACCCAGTAGGATCCGGATTTAATTCCAAGTGACGAAATAAAAATTTAGCATAAAAGAGCCAAGCATTCTCTAGAGTCTAGACCCTTGTAACTATACTGTAAGTGTAAGGAATTATAAGCCGGAAATTATGTCAGGCGAGACAATATTCCTCATTATCGGCAAAAAATGAACCTATACTGAGGGGGAGGAGTGTGATTTAACTTGAGAATTAAGTAGCCTGGTGGGATACGCGGGGTGAAGTCGTTGGTCCGCCTGCCACCTCGCCTGCACACGTCACTACCTTACTCGTATGTTGTGAGTGTTGTCGGTGGTAGTCCGGGCGAGGTTCCGCGGGGATCTCTTTTATTTTTGCCTACAATTCGTGATAAACACATTCTGAGGTCTCGTGTATGAACTCAGTAATGTAGAAAGGACAATCTGACTGGGAATATCACGTTAAGAAGTGTAGAATGTATACATGAAGCTGGAAAAGAGTAAATGGAGAGGCCCAGACACCGCCAGTTCCAGCTTGGCACACACAACCTTGACGGTGAGCCACATCTCATACTAAGGTTTGACTGTTTCGTTCTTATTGCTTAAAAATATATATATATAACAACAAAAATGACTATACTTTATCCCTGGAGATTGTTTAGAAGGTTTAAGTGTCATAATAATTTTACATTTATTTCAAACAGTGCTTTTATAGTCATGCATATGAATATTTTATTGCAGTTTTCCTAGTATCAATACACTTATGTTCCCCGTAAAAATAATTATGTTTTTGAACTGTTTAGACAACTTTGAAAGTTGATTTATGTCTGTATTTGTTAATTAACCTTATATTTGTTACAGGTAAGCTTGGCAGTTGCTTACTATCAATATTTCCATCTAACTTCAAATCTCCAACACTAGCCAGTGTTGTTTATCGTCCTTGTCAGCATAATATTCATCATTTTACTAATTTGTGGGGAATACGTAAATGCTTGTATGTTTTTGGAATAATTCGCTCGTAAAACTGACTGTTTGAACCTTGATGCATTTAGATTAACATATTTGCAGCGTGTGGGTGTGTGTGATGTCGCTGCCGCCATTCACATTACTCAACGACAGAGCCTCACTGAACATAGCATTCCATAGTGACGTGTATATAAGATAATTATGACAATTAAGTTCTTTTGTAGTCGTTTCTTTACTGATGCCAACGAACACGACACTTGGTAGGTGTAGTATTGGCTGGTGGATGGGAGCGTGACTATACCAACCAGGAAAACATAATAATATTGGTAAAAAAATAACACGAACCAATCCCACTCCTCACACACACTCCCTTGTTATTCTCAGCCACTGCACTCGGTACCACACTCACCTTCTGTTGGGATACGAACATACGGGTCAGCACCAGTGTTTCCCAGTGACACCTGCTCTAAATTATCTAATACCATTATTCTCTGGAGCAGTAAAGTAAATAAAAAAAAATAAAAAAAGCATCGGTAATACTATAAGAAATAAGGGCCAATTGCCTATTATCATTGTTGTTTTTAATAAATCTTGTGTATTTTTTGTGGTGAAATGTCGAATTTAGGTTTTATAAGTTTATTTGAGAATTTTACTATTGGTAATCTTTTCTCAGTGTTTATTTGAGAATTTTACTATTGGTAATCTTTTCTCAGTGTTGGGGCGAGGTGTGTTGGGGCTAGACAGGGAGTCGTGATGTTATAAATTCATACAGGTGTTGGGAGGGGGAACACCTGTTCGGATTTGGCTCCCGACTTGTTTCATATTATTGATTCTAGTAAATGGTATACGAGTGGTACTGAGTGACGGGTGAAAATACGTGAACACTCTTTCTCATTTGTGGTCTCTCTCCTTCCTTTCAGTCTTCCTCTTTCCTTTCTGTCTTCCTCTTTCCTTTCATTCTTTCTCTCCCTTTTCCTCTCTCGCCTTTCTTTATCGTCTCTCACCTGTCTATTCTCTCTCTCACCTGTCTATTCTCTCTCTCTCTCTCTCTCTCTCTCATATATCCCTACAGGTTCCGTCACACCCAAAGATGTAAGCATGGGTTTTGTCCTTAGTTCACGAGTCTGCCCCCTGGTGTTTCAAGTATACAATGGTCTGTGTGCATCAGGTGGCAACTATACTGTGATTGAGTTGTATAGTGGTCTGCATTGTACGCTATTAAACCTCTCCTCAATCGTCTACACCTTTTGATGCTAACCTAACCTAACTTGACCTAATTTAACCAGGTAGCGTTAGGTTGTTATATAATTTTCACGTGTAATAAGCAAGGGTGTCTAATTTTCTGGTGGTAGGTTGGCATAGTTGTGTTATCTGATTGTTGTTGTTTTTTCTTTTCCTTCAGGACGACAAGGGTGCAAGATAAGTAGCAAGGAGTGAGCTGGCAGTTGTTCTCGGTGCCACAGGTAAAGTGATCTTGAGGCATGACGTGTGTATGTGTGTGCTAGTGACATCATGCCTACACACACACCACCTACACCAGCGCCAACTTTCACACCTCTCGTAGTCTCTAAAGCAGTGTTTCTTAACCTGGGGTGTTAGGCTGAAATCGGTTTTATGGGGTGCTGGGAAATGCCTTATATTTGGAGAATGAACAAAATAAATTATCACGCAGTACTTTAATTTCTTTTTATAGCCCTGTAGGAACTGTAGTCTCTTCAACCAGATGGGGAGGGGGTGCTGGACTGCCTAGACTTGACTACAGGGGGCACTGAGGTCGGAAAAGGTTAAGAAGCGCTGCTATAGAGAATATCTGCTGGTAGACACACTGTGCATAATTTTTAGGAAGTAAAGAACGAATGCATTGCTTTACATGGCAGCTGTTAGTAGTGTATGTTAACTGGGTGACTGGTATAGTATTGTGTCGCCAGTTGTGTTGGTACGTTGGTTATGACACAATACAGGTATTGCCACACGGGCTGAATGAAGATGGTATGTATCGTCGTCAAGGTAACCATCACAGCTGATTTCCTCTGTCATCCAAGAACCAGAACTGTACGGATTATTACTGTTGATTTTACTGTTATAATGTTGATGTAGTGTTTAAGGCTTGTAATGTTGAATGTTAAGAAATGTTTTATGAAGAGGAAAAACACAAAGTAAATCCATTTTCTATGACTTCTAATACCGGGGGTTATATTTTGATGGTTTAAGACTTAGGCAGTGTTGTGTTGTGTTGCTTCAGAGATCTGTCATGCATCACTTTACGTACGCATGTCATTAACAGAAGCTAGAGGATAAGGAGGGTAAGATGGTTCAGCAAGGACACATAAGGTTAACTCTCCCATTTTCCTTGTGAGTATAAGGTATCGGCGGGTCGTCTTGGTGTCAACGCGTTTACAATTACAACACATTTAGTGAAAGATGCTGTTATGGTGAGCAGCCAGGTGAAGTATATGACCTGACCTCCACATGACCAGACCTCCAGTGTTGATGAGAAGCAGGATGGTGAACAGGTGAAGTATATGACCTGACTCAGTGTCTTTCCACAAATCCATCTTATCACCTGAAAAAAAGAATTGTAATTCCTTTTGGGTTTTTATCTTCTCTCTTCAGGTTGATCATATAACACCTCTCTACCTCTACTCGTGTTGGGGGGGGGGGATGGTGAGCTTACCGTGAGGCGTGTGTACACCTTTTATCACGTCTGGGCTCCGAGATTGGAAAGATTACTCATGATTTTATGACACGTGGAATTGTTAAGTGTCTGGTGTGTACTGGTGATGTGTTTTGTGGTGTGTACTGGTGATGTGTTGTGGTGTGTACTGGTGATGTTTCGTGGTGTGTACTGGTGATGTGTTGTGGTGTGTACTGGTGATGTGTTGAGGGGTGTGTACTGGTGATGTGTTGAGTGTGTACTGGTGATGTGTCGTGGTGTTGGGGGTAATGAGACCGAAACTAGGAATGGGAATGATGTAGATTGTATTTGTGTGAAAGAGAGGGAGGGAGGGGAAGAGAGAGAGGATGGGGAAGAGAGGGAAGGAGGGGAAGAGAGAGAGTGAGAGGGAAAGAGTAAGAAAGAAAGAAAGAGACGGGAGGGGGAAAGAGAGAGAGAAGAAGGGGGAGGGGGAAAGGGAGAAGGGAGAGAAAAAGAGAGGTAGGGGGGAAAGGGAGAGAATCCTTATATCATGACAGCATTTTGTGACGCTTGTACAACTTCTCATCAGACCAGCAGCTGAAGCTTACTATAATAACCTAATTAGATGCAATAAATATTCCACTGCTGTTATTTAAATATAATCCATCTCAGTTTTCTCTGGGGCTACGACTGTCAGAGTGAGGTATATGTGTAAAGAAATATGATGTGGTTAATATTTTTTTAAAGGGATAAAATATAAAGTTGGATCGCTTCAAGAATCTTCAATCCAGCTTATTTGACCGTAAGATTAACCACCCGAACACTATATGGGAGATGAGGTTAAGTTAGCTTTGGTTAGGTTAGGTTTGGCTTGGCTTGGCTATATTTGGTTAGGTTAGCGCTTGGGTTAAATTAGGTAAGGTTAGGGGTTGATTGGTTAGGTTTGGTTATGTTAGTGTGGTTAATCAATAGGTAAAATAAGCTGGGGTGGAGATTCTTCAGGTGATCCAATCAAAATCAAGCCGCCGTAAGAGGTACACGTGTCATGGTCGGCGCTAATAGAGTAGTTCCATTCATTAGTGACCACGGCCGGTCGCTTGCCACCAGACCTGAGGTGCGCCAGGGAGGATTAATGGATGTTATGCACGCCACGAAGACTTAATGTTAATTTATAATCTCTACCACTTGTCACCTCAGTAGCCGTTCGGGCGATTGGTCTGTTCTTTGTTACGACCATCAGTCCAGTGTTAGTACAGGAGGGAACTGCTAAGGTTGGCTGGGTCACACTTGTCTAGATATAATGGGACGTAGCCAAGGTTTGTTAGGTTAGGAGGTTCAAATCAGCAGCAAGACCCCTAACTCTCCCTCATCTCGTTTCTCCTCTCCTCCATCTCTCTCTCTTCCCCCCTCATCTCTCCTCTTCCTCCCTCATCCCTCCTCTTCCTCCCTCATCCCTCCTCTTCCTCCCTCATCCCTCCTCTTCCTCCCTCATCCCTCTCCTCTTCCTCCCTCATCTCTTTCCTCTTCTCCCCCATCTCCCCTAACAGGCATGAGAATGTCTGACTAATACGTGTATAGAAATATTAAAGGCTGATCCAGGGATTTTCCAAGGGAGTGTTGTTCATAAATACTATAGGTTACTTAATGTAGGACTCGGAACACTTCAGGTTATGACCACTGTAAAGCCTCTGGTGGTATGGGTAACGGGACAAGTGGATAGATAAGAAGAAATGAAGTTCCCTGGCAGTATAATTGCCGTGTTGACTCATCCTCCGGCAGCGGGTGGGTGGGTGGGTGGTGGGGGTGGGGGTCGTTCTCCGGAGTTCGTGAGATTTGTTTGTTGATTCTCTTAACTGACGAATGCTGCTGTTTACCTTTGCTTCGAATGTACAGTCACTCAAACATAAGTCCTGTCAGTCCTCCCTCTCTCCCATACATGAACACCGAAACTCATGAACCAGTGAATCCGAGACAACACACATTGTTGGACCTATAGATGGTGCACTAGGTCTTGTCTCGGATTCACAGGTTCATGGATGGGAGAGATGAACTGACATGACTTATTTTGGTGGGTGTGCGTCGACTGAAAAACACGACTGGCAACACCAGCACCTCCACACCAACACCTTCCCATCCAAACAAGTGTAAAAAAGATCCGCCATGAACAATATTTACAGTGCTTGTCGACGTGTTAATATTTTTTCCCGAATTTGCAGGCTAGAGGACGTTGGTGAGCACTCGGTTCATAATTACTTGGTCACGAATATTCTAAAGTAACGCCGTACAGTCCTAAATAGTCCGGTAAGGGATGACAGCTGGCAGACGTATGGCTGATTACAATTGTTGATTACGATTCCAATAACGATTACAAAGTTTAATTGAAGATGGATTACGATTACAGTATTTGAAGATGTTGGATTACAGTTACATATAAATGATTAATTGGATTCCGATTACGAATACATCGTAACTGCAATCAATCACTATTACAATATGATTTCAATCGGCCCCATGGGTGGTGGATGGCATTGGTGAGTGAAGGTGGTGAGCGAGGAGGCGGTGGTTTTAGTGCTTGTTGGTAATTCATAACTAACCATTAAAACAGAATGCTTTAGGTGCCTGGATTATTAAACATGTGTAGATGATAGATATTCTGGTATTACCCTTTCTGTTTGTTGTACATATAAGGCAGACAAGAATCTATTTCACCAGCTGACGAAGGAAGTTTATCATCGAGTGGACGGATTTAAAAGCAGAGAAACAACGAGTGAAGGAGAGGCTCTGAAGATGTCATGAGACCTTTTGTGATGATAAGCTTTGAACGACCAGGTTATTACGTGTTGTTGTTTTTATTGTTATTTATTTTTAGATTTTTCAGCTGCCAGTTAGTAAATATCTTGGAGTGGGTATATATAATCTTATAAAGATAGGCGACACAGGCAGCTCCGTATTATGTTATGAACGTGTGAATATATGCACAGAGAAGAGAGGATGGTGGAGAGAAAAGAGACTCAGGAAAGGCCTAACCTAACCACATTGAAAGCCTCAGTGTGAGAGACAACGATGGTGATAATGAATCTTCTTGGTATGATGAACTCAAGGGACAGTGTGAGCATAGCACACAGGGCGGCACAGCGTGTCTGGCACTCGATCACCTTTACTTCCTCAACTGTATAATGTTAGGTTTCCCATTACAGTTGGATGGACTGGTGGACCTGGCCGGGGATCGAACCAGCGACCTTTAGGACACGAGGCTTATAATTAGTGAATGATACGTGATGAAAATAAGTGTATAAAGTCTGAAGAAAAGTTACAAATATCAGTGAATAAGTGTGGAGAAAGTTGATAGTGAATGTGAATTAAAGTAAACTGGCGAGTGTAGAACTGGTAAAAATGAATAGAGTTGAAAGGTGAATGGTAGGACGGAGACGGGTAGGATGAGGCAGGAGAGAAAGGTGGCGCGGGAAGCAACAACCGTGAATGAGCGGACAACGTGACAGGTGTTGACGTGAGGGGGCTGTTGGGTGGTGATGAGGGGGTGGGGATAAACCACATGGACAGTTTAATATGTGTGTGTGGAAGAGGGGTAAGGAAAACAAATATGGCGGGCCAGCAATAATAACCAAATGTCTCTTTAAGTTCCATTCCTTTTCAATTTGGGTAAAATATCTCGAGATTCTTTAATTGATGAATAGCTTATGTAACCTTAAACTTCCCTTTGAATTAGTTGGCTGGAGGGAAGAGTGGAGGCACTGACTCGTATAGACAGGTGGTCGGCCATAACAGCTGTGCCACGCCAGGCAAACTCTGCTCTCTAATATATATATA